TGTCCCCACGTGCTAGTAATTGTTGTTGTTGTTGTTGTTGTTGTTGTTGTTGTTGTTGTTGTTTGTTGTCGTCGTCCCCCCTGCGACCCACCCGCGACCCACCCCGCGACCCACCCCGCGACCCACTCGCGACCCACCCCGCGACCTACCCCGCGACCCACCCGCGGCCCACCCGCAACCCACCCCGTGACCCGCCCGTGACCCGCCCGCGACCCACCCGCGACCCTCCCCGCGATCCACCCGCGATCCACCCCGCGACCCACCCCGCGACCCACCCCGCGACCCACCCTGCGACCCACCCCGCGACCCACCCGCGACCCACCCGCGACCCACCCCGCGACCCACTCGCGACCCACCCGCGACTCATACGCGACCCACCCGCGACCCACCCGCGACCCGGCCCGCGACCCACCCGCGACCCACCCCGCAATCCACCCACATTGCTTTAACGAAAAATTCGGCGTTTGCGGAGTGTTCAATGCATAATTTGTAAAAGTTTGGCGCCTGCGGCGGGCTTCTTCAGAGCCTCGCAGATTGACGACGTCTCCGCCGCCCCCTCACTCTTATCCGCAACTTCGGGGTGCTACGTACGTGCACGCAACTATACATACATACATACATGCATACATATACATACGTTCATACATACATATACAGTTTCATACATGCATACATACCGACAGGCAAAGACAGACGGACATACCGCCACACCGACAAAGATATACACATCCATCCATACATTAATATTCGAGCCCCAGGAGAAGGGTGGCGAAGCCTATTGGGGCGAAGCTTTCGGGGAGTCGAAAAAAGCAGCACCCCCTGAACAAAGACACCTACACAGAACAGTGTGTCCTGGGGCCTCTAAGGGCCTCCTGGAGCCTCCTCTGGGCAGGGGGGCCGAACAGCGCTTCCCGAACCCATATCCAAATACAGAAGAATATGTTCTGGGTCTTCTGGAGACTCCTGGGAGCGCAGGGGCCGAAAGGCGCCCACCAGCATGCATCCCGATACGGCCGGACCGAGATAGAGGATCGAGGTCGGTTCGGGTAGGGTACCCTGATGTTTTTTCGTGTTTGTTATTGTTCTTATGCATCCTGGGGGGCGTAGAGTCGACTGTTCTTCAGTATGGCCGACGCGCGGACTAGCTTTTGTTGAGGGAAGTTCTTCTGTCTTGGGTCTGCTCATACAGGAGAGTGCATCCTGGAGCCTCCTGGGGGCGGGGGGCGGGACGAGAAATGACCCCCGAACACGTGTTCCAACACAGGATCGTGCCTCCTGGGGGCTCCTGGGAGCGGAGGGGACGAAAAGTACTCCCCGACCACGCGGCTCACTGCAGAAACATGCCTCCTCCTCGTGCCTCCCGGGGGCGGGAGGTCCGAGACCGATCCCTGAACACATATCCCTTGATCGACCTGGTGTCCCCTGGGGCCTCCACAAGTACACGCCGGTCGTTGAAAGTAGTTGTTTCCCAACCCTCCTTGGTTGGGTATTCGTTTTGAATAGAGCAGTGTGGTCGCGTCCTTCCTCCTCCCGCCTGGGTAATCGCGGCAGATTCAAATTAGACCTCGCCATCCCTGGGGGGGGGGGGGGGGGCTGCGGTGAAACTGTCGCCACTTTCGAGGCCTGCTGGGGGGTCCAGCATAGAGGGTAATCGCGGCAGATCCAAATTAGACCTCGCCCTCCCTGGGGGGCTGCGATCTGTGAAACTGTCGCCACTTTCGAGGCCTGCTGGGGGGTCCAGCATAGAGGGTAATCGCGGCAGATTCAAATTAGACCTCGCCATCCCTTGGGGGCTGCGATCTGTGAAACTGTCGCCACTTTCGAGGCCTGCTGGGGGGTCCGGCATGGAGGATAATCGCGGCAGATTCAAATTAGACCTCGCCATCCCTGGGGCTGCGATCTGTGAAACTGTCGCCACTTTCGAGGCCTGCTGAGGGGTCCAGCATAAATATAAAGGTTAATCGAGGCAGATTCAAACTAGACCTCGCCATCTCTGGGGGGCTGCGATCTGTGAAACTGTCGCCACTTTCGAGGCCTGCTGGGGGGTCCGGCATAAAGGGTAATTGCGGCAGATTCAAATTAGACCTCGCCATCCCCGGGGGGCTGCGATCTGTGAAACTGTCGCCACTTTCGAGGCCTGCTGGGGGGTCCTGCATAGAGGGTAATCGCGGCAGATTCGAATTAGACCTCGCCATCCCTGGGGGCTGCGATCTGTGAAACTGTCGCCAGTTTCGAGGCCTGCTGGGGGGTCCAGCATAGAGGGCAATCGCGCAGATCCAAATTAGACCTCGCCATCCCTGGGGGGCTGCGATCTGCGAAACTGTCGCCATTTTCGAGGCCTGCTGGGGGGCCCAGCACAGTGAGGGCCACGCGCAGATTCAAATTAGACCTCGCCATCCCTGGGGGGCTGCGATCTGCGAAACTGTCGCCATTTTCGAGGCCTGCTGGGGGGCCCAGCACAGTGAGGGCCACGCGCGGATTCAAATTAGACCTCGCCATCCCTGGGGGGCTGCGATCTGCGAAACTGCCGCCATTTTCGAGGCCTGCTGGGGGGCCCAGCACAGTGAGGGCCACGGGCAGATTCAAATGAGACCTCGCCATCCCTGCGGGGCTGCGATCTGTGAACCTGTCGCCACTTTCGAGGCCTGCTGTGATCCCTTTTTCGAAGTGGCTAGGAGTGCTCAGGAATTGTAAATCATAAGCTTTATCAAGCCCTTTTCCTGTAGCCAGTGTCCTGCGAGTCTCCCGAATTCCGTCTGCAGACATATGTAACCCTCGCTCCGCCATCGCCCCCTTATAAAGTATCCTAAACTATTTGCGCCCCGCTTTTGCGCAGGGGTTGGGTACGTCGCCAGGGTAATTTTTTGGGGGATTCTCAGATCCCAATCTAATTCAAGCGCCTTCCTACTTCAAGAATCGACATGATTTTGCTGTGCTTTGTTCCCTACCTAGGCTCTGCCTAGAAGGGTTCCTACTTTCTTTGCGTAAGGGGCCGGGCAGTGGAAATCGCCCCGGGCGGTTCCCCCAGTCCCCTGGGAGCCAAGCAAAAGCAACAGCAAAGGTAAAAGCAAACGCGCGGTTCCCCCAGTCGCGCTCCCTGGGTGCCAAGCAAAAGCAAACGCAAAGGCAAAAGTGAAGGCAAAAGCGAAGGCAAAGCAAGAGCATAGCATAGCATAGCATAGCATAGCGCAGCATAGCATAGCGTAGCATAGCATAGCATAGCACAGCATAGTCTAGCCTAGTCTAGCCTAGCATACCAGTGCGCAGCATAGCATAGCATAACATAACATAGCATAGCATAGCAGAGCATAGCATAGCGTAGCATAGCGCAGCACAGCATCCACTATTGTTGCTGCGAAAGTGTAGATGTAGATGTAGATGTAGGTGTAGGTGTAGATGTGGATGTAGGTGTATATGTAGATGTAGATGTAGGTATAGATGTAGGTATAGATGTAGATGTAGACGTGAGTCTCGCTGTTGATGTAGATGTAGATGTAGATGCAGGTTTAGATGTATATGTAGCTGTAGGTGTAGATGTAGATGTAGGTCTAGATGTAGATGTAGGTGTCGATGTAGATGTAGGTGTAGATATAGATGTAGATGTAAAGAAGTCCCCAGTGCCCCGCCCTCATCTCCGTGCCTGCTTGCTGTTGCTGCTGTCTCGGCGACTTGCTGGCTGCTTCTGCTGCTGCTTCACTTACGGCGTGGCGTCGGCGGTTCTGGCGCTAGTACTACTACTACTACTACTACTACTACTACTACTACTACTACTACTACTACTACTACTACTACTACTACTACTACTACTACTACTACTACTACTACTACTACTACTACTACTACTACTACTACTACTACTACTACTACTACTACTACTACTACTACTACTACTACTACTACTACTACTGCTACTACTACTACTACTACTACTACTACTACTACTACGACTACTTCTACTACTACTACTACTACTACTACTACTACTACTACTACTACTACTACTACTACTACTACTACTACTACTACTACTACTACTACTACTACTACTACGCTACTGTTATAACTATGACGATGAGGAGAAGGAGGAGGACGGCGTTTACCGCTCCTACTAATGTTGCTTTCCTAGAGGCTCCAACTCCTAGGTAGGGTCGCACTGGGATATTTGTTCTCTGGGAGGGCCTGGACCCAATCCACTTTACCCGCCTTCCTATTTCATGTTTTGACCTACTTCTTCCGACCGGCGTGTATCCCTTGATCGTCCTGGTGTCCCCTGGGGCCTCCTCAAGTAGTGGCGTGACTGCTCTGACGGATTTGTTTGTGCTGCTGCATCGCAGCGGAGTCTCAAGCGAAACGGCCGTCCCTGCATCCGCGAGTAGCAACAATAGTGTTCTGAAGGAGCCCCCTTGTGGTGCTGAATGGCGAATGCGAAAAGGCAGTTCCCGTATCCGCGAGTAGCAGCAACATGGTTCTGAAGGTTCCCTCGTTGGTGCTAAATTGCAAGGAGGGCTCAGGCGAAACGGCCGTTCCATTAACCGCAAGTAGCGGCAATGCTGCTCTAAAGGACCCCCTAACCCCATTTGCGGGACCCATTTGCAAGGAAGCCTCAAGTCACACGGTATTTCTGTCATCCGCAAGTAGCTGCCACTTGCTCTGGAAGACGCCCTAGTGGTGCTAAATTGAGAGGAAGTCTCAACCGAGAGCGCCCTTCCTGATTTTCGGGCCCTCTTTGGCCAGGGCCTCCCGGAGTAAGTTGTGAGGAACTATCGCGCGGGAACGCTGTTGCTGTGGAAGCTTCCGTGGTGCAATTGATGGCAGCCTGGTTTCTGGCTTGGTGCATGTGCTGTAGGCTTGGGAACTTGTTCGTGGCCGAGGCCTTCCCGTTGCCAGAAGAGCCATTTCATGCCTTGCTCATTCTTCGTATGGGGGCACGATGGCTGTAAAGATGCCGTCGCGCACATGCGCTGTCGGGCGCGGCGGCGAGGGTCACCCCCCGCCCACAGGAGGTGGAGGTCGAGGACGCCGCCAAGGAGGTGGGGCTGTCCTTGGAGGAGTGGATGGGGCTCGACGACACGTGGAAGGCGCCGTCATTGGCCTCCCCTCCTCCTCCTCCTCCTCCTGCTCCTCCTCCTCCTCCTCTTCCTCCTCCTCCTCATCCTCCTCCTCCTCATCCGCGCCCCCATATGCCCTTCCCTTCTGCGTTCACTCCCTCCTCCTCCTCCTCCTCCTTTTCCTCCACCTCATTCTCCTCCCTGCCTCCTCGTCTCCTGGCCCCCCTTGCATCCTGCCTCATCTCCTCCGCCCTCCTTTTTTTATCCACCTCCGCTTCCTCCCCCCTCTCCGCCTGAGTCGTCTGCCCTAACCTCAGGGCCCTCCGCGACCCTTCTTCACCGCGATCGGAGTTCGACCCGATGGATCCACATGTGCAAGCGACTGAGCCAAACATTCGTATCACGGGTAACACATCATTGAGCCGACCCTCTGCGCTAACACTTCCCCAGGCCCTGCAGCATCCCTTGCCCCTTTCCATGGCGCTCCCTGAACCATACTTTCAGAAAACACCACAGCGTGAACTGTTAGCCAGCGTGGACCCCAAGCAGTGCACTATTGCACCGTGAATATGTGAGCTGTGGTGGAAGCTGTGTGGTGCAAGGTGTGTGGTGTAATCGATGTGGTGCAAGTTATGGGCTGCCGCCGGCTGCCGCCGACACCTCGGCGGGCCCCAAGTGGGCGCCAGCGAGGCGGCCACGAGGCAGCCACGGGCGGCGACGCCGTCACACTTCGGCGGACCTCCCACGTGGGCGACCGGAAAACAACAGACAGCCCCTGAAATGTAGACCTGCCCGGAGCACGCCAAAAGGTAGACCTCCGCCCTTCGCGCGCGGTCTGCATTTCAAGGTCCTGCAGATTGTGGTCTACATTTCAGGGTGCTTAGGTCTCGCGAGGGTCGACATTTCAGAGTCCATTTGGTCGGTGTCTGCATTTGAGGGCCCTTGCGCGGGTCTACATTTTGAGGCGCTTCTCGCGGGTCTACATTCGGGGGGTCTGAGCGTTTCGCGGCGGCCCCGAGGCGGCCACGGGCGGAGACGCGGCAAAACCTTGGCGGATCCCCATGCAGTGGGCGGCAGTGCGGCGGCCACGACGCTTCGACGCGGCGAAGCTTCGGCGGACCCCGTGAGCGGGCGGCAGCGAGGCGGCCACGAGGCGGCCGCGGGCGGCGGCGCGACGAATCCTTGAACGCGGTCGGCACCGAGGCGGCCACGAGGCTACCAGCGGCGGCGCGGCGAAACCTCGGCGGACCGCCGAAACGTGCGGCACCCAGGCGGCCACGAGGCGATCACCAGCGGCGGCGCGGCGAAACCTCGGGGGACGCAGACAAGAAGGGGGTCGGCCGCGAGGCGTCCACGGGCGGCGACGCGGCAAAACCTGGGCAAACCCCCAAGGAGCAGGCAACGAGGCGGCCACGAGGCGGCCACGGGCGGCGACGCGGCGAAACCTCGACGGACACAAACAACAAGTGGGCGGCAGCAAGGCGGTGCTGCGAAACCTCGGCGGGCGCAGCTAGTCAGCGAGGCGGCCGCGAGGCGGCCACGGGCAGCGACGCGGCGAAACCCTGTCGGACACAGCACATGAGTGGGCGGCCGCCGGTCGGCCGCGAGGGGGCCACGGACGGCGACGCGGCTAAACTTCGGCGGTCCCCCCGAGGGGGCGGCGACGAGGCGGCCACGACGCGGCCACGGGTGGCGACGCGGCGAAACTTCGGCGGACCCCCCGAGAGGGCGGCAACGATGCGGCCACGAAATGGCCACGGGCGGCGACGCAGCGAAGCCTCGGCGGAACCCCAAAGTGGTCGGCAACGAGGCGGGCCACGGGCGGCGGCGAGAGGTTTTTGTATGTTTTCGGGCTGCGGGGGTCCTTATCGGGCCCGTGGGGCTGTCAAAAGACGACTCGGGACTAGGAGGGACCCCCCTTCAAGGAATCTGGACCTCTGTGGGGGGCCACGCTGCGTTTCTCACGGGCCAGATCTCCGGGTCGTGAATGTGTTCGCGGCGGCGGCCTGGACCCCCTCAGGAACTGGCTGTTCGCCCTGCGTCGTTTCGATGACGGCCCCTGTGATGGGCTTGTTTTCCACCGCCACCACCATATGTTGGAGGGGGGAAGGAGGTGGAGGATGAGGAGGAGAAGGAGGAAGAGAAAGAAGAAAAAGGCCCCCCTCCCTTTCCTGCTTATTCTGGTGGTGGAGTGGTAAACAAGCCCACCAAGGGCCTGGCGAGTGCCCCCAGGGGCCGCGAGTGGCAAACCACAAGTCCGCGTATGGTTCTCGCGCTGCGCGAGGAGAGCAGGGAACGCGGGGTTTTCACGGAAGACGCGACCCTTTTTGGGCGACCGGCTGTTGATCTTGAGAGGAGGAGGAGACGGAGGAGGAGGAGGAGGAGGTGGAGGAGGCAGAGGAAGAGGAATCATAATAAGAGTATGAAGAGACATTTTCTGATTCGTAATAATCAGAAGAAGAAGCATAATAAGAGGAGGAGGAAGAGGAGGGGGAGGAGGAGGAGGAGGAGGATCAAGAGAAAGAGAAGCAGAAAGAGAAGGAGCAGGAGTATGAGTAGGAGTCAAGCTAGCCAGCTCGAGCGAGTCAAGCATGGCATGCCCAGTCCCACCCGCCCTCCCACAACATGAGAAGCAAAGCTGGCACAACTGGGGGCCGAAGTCACACCGGCCAGCCGGTTTGGTACAGCTGATGCGGCCGCGATGGCGGTTGCCGACGGGAACTGGCGAGCGCGTGTTGAATGCCGCGCACGCATTGCCAGACGAGTCGAGAATGGCCCGGTACACCGCAGGAAGCCAGAGGTGGCCGGAGGAAGCCCGACGGTCTGACAGGACACCCCAAAACATTTTTGTGAAAAAGCATTGGGTTTTTGATGTTTTTATGTTGAAATGCTTGCAAACACACGGTGTTCGGTAGGATTCTGACATGAACGCGCGAGTGTGCTCTTTGTGGTATTTTTTGCACAGGATTCGCGGCCTGGGTGCATGACAGAGCATCGCGAGTGCACCGCGCGATGACGTGAAATCGCTGGATTTGACAGAATTCTTAAGATTCCTATGGTTTTCCTATGATTTCAGCAAGAGAGCCCGGGCGGGAAATTTGTACAATTTTTGTGAAAAAAGCATTGGGTTTTTGATGTTTTTATGTTGAAATGCTTGCAAACACACGGTGTTCGGTAGGATTCTGACATGAACGCGCGCGTGTGCTCTTTGTGGTATTTTTTGCAATGGATTATCGCCGTGGACGACAGGACGTCCATGTCGAGAGGAAAAAATAAGAAAAATGTTGATTTTGTATTGTTTTTTACAGGTTAGGATGGGACCACCCGGATGCGGCCCCTAATGGCCGGCCTGAGGGGGGAGTAGGAGTATATTCTAATAAGGAATAAGGATAGGAGGAGGAGAGGAGGAGGAGGAGGAGGAGGAGGAGGAGGAGGAGGAGGAGGAGGAGGAGGAGGAGGAGGAGGAGGAGGAGGAGGAGGAGGAGGAGGAGGAGGAGGAGGAGGAGGAGGAGGAGGAGGAGGAGGAGGAGGAGGAGGAGGAGGAGGAGGGTCCGTAACGATTTTGGCTCAAGCCACGGGCTGAGGAGGGGCGGGGCCCGACGCCGCCGCCGCCAGGGGTCGCCGCCGTCGCCCCCTCGCGCGGCCGTGGGCCGCCGCGGGCTGCAGGCCCAGGACCCGCAGCCGCAACGCCCCGCGAGGGCGAACCCGCGTGGCATCGGCGCCAGCGGGAAAGGAGGTCTTCAGCGAGGACACTGCTCCGCGTCCTCGACGCCGCGAAGACCTTGAGGGATCACGACAGCGCTCGGCAGCCGCAGCGCCACCAGCAGCGGCCTCAGAGTGCCGACGACCGGATGCCGCGTGCTGCGGCCAATGATGGCCAGCGTGAGAGGTCATCGGTTCCAGCAGATGGAGAGAGGCCGTGGCCATGGCATGCGAGCAGCACTCAGCGCAACCAGCAGCACCAGATCAGCACACGATGGGCCCAGCAGAAGTGGCAGGGTGTTGCCTGGTCTCATGCCAAAGGCAGCATAACAGGTGGCATGACGGCACGCCTACCCACAGGCGAAGGCGCAGTCGTCGCCCGACAGGCGCCACAGCCACATAAGCAGGACGGCAGGCGCCACAACCACAGCAGCCACAGCAGCAGAGCAGCTTCACCGAGAAGCAGCGCGCCGTGCTCGACATGGTGTTGACAGTACTCTATGAGGAGGCGCAGGGCCATGAGTCGTGGAGTTCGCCGCCGTCCGATCCAGAGATGATCGAGGTCTGGCGGAAGACCCGCAGCCAGCGCCTCGCCAGGTTGGCGGACAACATCGCACGCAGGAGCCCGATCCGCAGGCGTGGAATCTGCCAACCTGGAGTACGATGCAGCGGTCACGGCGGCGAACATCACATTCGTGATCCCAGCAAAGGAGAGGTCCCGCCAGCTGCGCTCCGCCCTGGAGCGGGCCGAAGAGGAATTCACCCGCCTCCAAGCCAGGATCGCAGCGCAGCTGGACGAGGAGGCGAAGGCCACCAGGGTCGTGCGGATATACAAGGTGCTGATCCGCGAGACCAAGGATGATGGCGAGAACCGCAGCCAGTGGCCCGCCGTCGGAGTCTGAGGCCGAAGGCGATGCGGAACAAGCTGGACGAAGGGGAAGCGGAAGCAGAGGACGCGCGCGCACACCGCACCCGGCGGCAGCCAGGCCTCCCAGGGCGACGCAACTGCAGGGCCCAGAGTCCCGACAAAGGCAGCAGCCCGCCCCAGGCCACCAGCGGCTCCTCAGCCTACCAGCCATACAGATGAGGCTGCAAGCTCAAGGCCCGGCTGATGGAGGTGGAGCAGAGTCACGCGGTCAGACTGCGAAGTTGCGAGCAGGCCTTGGCCCAGAATGCCTCGCATGCAGTTTCCGACCAGCTGGAGCGCCACCAGCGAGCTGGCCAACGCGAGGTGGACGACATCAGGAGTGCCGCCCACTGCGAACTCGAGCTCGACGCAGCGCCGCCTCGCCATGTAGGCCTGGGAGGCCGCTCCAGGAGCAGAAGAG